ACAACAATGACAACTGCAATAACAACAACCACAACAAAAAATAGCCAGGTGTTGTGGCAGGGGCCTATAGTCCCAGCTACTTGGGAGGCTGGGGCAAGAGAAATGCTTATTAAGCCCAAAGAGTTTGAGGTTGCTGTGAGCTCTAACACCACAGCACTCTACCAAGGGTGACATAGTGAGATTGTGCCTCAAAAAAAAAAAAAAAGAAAGAAAGAAAGAAAGAAAAAAACTCACAACGTCCTTAGGTATCATGTTGTACCCTGGAAATTACATTCCAAAGAGGTTGACATGAATGAGATGGCCCATTTTACTACCCCTGTGACAATACCTATGTATTCTCATTAAATAAAAAGTCATTAGTGACTTAAGAGGCAGAGAATTGTATTTCATTATCTTTATTTAAAAAAAACCTTTTTACGATTGTGTAGTATAAACACTTCACGATCTATTCATTAACCTGTTGTGTTTTCCTCCTTACATCCTCTATGTGCATCTCCCAGGGTTTAGGCCGGAAGGGGCAGGAGTGTTAAGAATAGAAGTCTCAGAGTTTTCCTTATAATTTTGATTCAGCATTGTGTATGTCAAACATGGTAACATCTTTCACTATTGCTTTGAGTATTTTTCCTTTGGGAGTACTTATTTCAATCTGGAAAATTTACTTATTGTTTTTCAATACAAAAAAATTTTGTTCTTAGCATCTGCTTCCTTTATGACCGTTTTCTATCATGTTAAGCTTAAAAGTCCCTCCATGCACCTTATGATTAACATTTACATCTTCATTGATTGATAAAATAGTTTGATTTTAAAAGTAAATCTTAGCTATAAATCTACCTGAAATTTGTTTCAGAATGTGGTGTGGGAGGTTTCTAACTTCAACATTGGGTAAAATTACACTGTGACCCATACCATTTTCTGTAACAAGGCAGAGGGTGAATACTAAGTTGAGTTAGTGATGGCTTTCCCCCACCCATCTGTTTCCAAGATATCATTTGTCACATTTAACCTCTTTGCAAAAGAATAATTTAGCTGTCTACAGGAGCTCTTTAGGAGTGTTGCATCAGTTGATAACATGAGGAATACCTCATCTATACAAATTAACTAAAATATTTTCTAGGAGTCCTGGACAGATTTTTGAGTAAGAAAATGGAAAGACTTTCTCTCTCACTTATTCCCTCTCTTTCATTCTCTCTCACTCTCTCTGTCTTCCTCTATCAGAAGCCAATAATCTTAGTGATATAAACCATTTAATTGAATAACTCCAGCAAAACCTGTTGAACAACTGGAGGCCAGTCACTCCATAGCCAATTCCCGTCTCTATGGGATGAGACGCTTTAACTTCCTGTCTTATCAAGACCTACCCAAGGCAAAAACTGGACTCAGTGCCAAAGGCGTGCAGAGATGCAAAAACACAGACTCAGTCTTCCAGGAGCTACAGTCACAGTCCACATACTCCCCGACCTTCGTGGTTCCCTTTGTCACTTAGCACATTAAGTGTCTCATTTCTTCACCACTGCTATGTGGTTTATTCAGCAATTCAATACAAATTTGTTGTTTGTAAGTTAATAATACACCAATGGAAGTTTTGTTAGTCTGTTGCCTCTGAAATTCTAGCAAACTAATCTAGATTATAGGAATAATATGTAAATATCAGCAAGAAGAAAAAAATCAGTGGGCTGGGAGAAGTATAGCTCAGATCTAGTCCAGCCCTGCTTTCCATGTGCTATGGGGCCACATCAATCGTTCATCTCTCTGGACTGCATGTCTTATGCATCAAAGTCTTATACAAGATGGTCTAGAAGGCTTACAGTTCTAGAGTTTAAGGAAAATCATTCTGGGAAAATTAGAATATTATATGTATTCCTCTGTCCATGTTAATATTGTTTGAGGAGTCTATATATGAAGACATAATTAAGACCCATTATGACCCTTCCAACCTCTTAGGTTATTAAATGCAAAGCAGCTGTGCTGTGGGAACAGCATAAACCTTTCTCCATTGAGGAAATTGAAGTTGCCCCACCAAAGGCTAAAGAAGTTCGCATTAAGGTAAGAAAGAGCCTTGGAGTACATGAGCCTAAAATGTCTTCCCATCTATATTGCATATATCACTGTTGTGAAGTTGAATTCTTAAATAAGGGGATATTTCCAAAGTTTAAGGCATTAATGCTCTTACTGGTTATTATTCTTAAGGATCTGGAAAGGCAGGATATGAAATTAATGAGTTCATTATCCATTAAAAAACCAGCAGTGCTAATTTGCTCTGCTAAAGCTTTCACTTGTTGAATTTTTATTGATGTAGTGTCTGATGAAAAATATAATTATGACTAATAAATTCTTTTAAAACCATCTGGGAGTCCGATTATGTTCAGATCACTTTTCACAAAGAAAGAGGGATTCATTTGTGTCTAGAGAACCCACAACTTCCTGGAGTATACCCCTTCCCCCCCAGTCATTTGGATAGAGACTAACCTTTACTCTGGATACCAGTGTTGAGTGGGCATTTCTGACCATCTTTCTTTGACGCTCTCCTCTTATCTAAGCACTGTAGTAAGATTCTCTCCTCAATTCCTTCTTGCGCACCATTCCCTCTGCACTTTATTAAGCGACTCCTAGGAGGGCCCGGCTATAAAAATCTACTTTTAGGTAATCGCACGGTTAACACCTGTGTTCTGACTCCCTCACGAGTGCACCAGTTTACCACAGAAAGGCACCAAGATTCAACATAGGGCAAGAAGCAGCAATATTGTAAGTTTCTTGAAGGGAAAGATCTTGTCAAATTGTTGCTGTTAGGCTTCTAAAAGTCAACCTTATTACTGTTGATCATCATATTAAGTAAACAATTATAATTTCTTTAAGAACAGGTTAATTATTCTCCCAGCTATAAAATGACCAGTTTGATGTTTGAGCTAGTGTTTTTGTCTCCGAACACAGATTTTGGCCACAGGAATCTGTCGCACAGATGACCACGTGATCAAAGGAGCAATGGTGTCTAAGTTTCCAGTAATTGTGGGACATGAAGCAACTGGGGTTGTAGAGAGCATTGGAGAAGGAGTCACCACGGTGAAACCAGGTATATGGATGTCAAGCCACAAGTTTGAGATAAGTCAGCGTTGACCATCTGTCAAAAGAAATAGCACATGCTACGAATTATTATAGGGAGCTTTATCATAGTTTCAGGAGATGAAAGCAAAAAAAGAGAATGGATTGTACTGAGTGATATGCAATTTGGCAAAATCTCAACCTTCAGTGAACACATGTTATGGTGTTTATAAACCTTAGGCTACTTTAAAAAATTTTTTACATGTAATATGGGCTCAGTTCACGCTTTTTTATTTCGTATTTTAACATGAATGAATAGCACCTTCTATCATGATGTTTCTCCCGCAGGTGACAAGGTCATCCCTCTCTTTCTGCCACAGTGTAGACAGTGCAATGCTTGCCGCAGCCCAGATGGCAACCTGTGCATTCGGAGCGAGTAGGTTTCAGGCCTTTTTGCTCTGGTGTCATTCAAATCGTTCCTGGGCTAATTTTTGAACTGAATTGACTAATATGCGTGTTTGGTGTATCAAACAGCGTTACTGGTCGTGGAGTCCTAGCCGACGGCACTACCAGGTTTAGCTGCAAGGGCAAGCCGGTCTATCACTTCATGAACACCAGCACGTTTACTGAGTACACGGTGGTGGATGAATCTTCCGTGGCCAAGATTGACGATGCCGCTCCTCCTGAGAAAGTCTGTTTAATCGGCTGTGGATTTTCCACTGGATATGGGGCTGCTGTTAAAACTGGCAAGGTCAGAAACAGGGTGGGTGGGTTTCCTTCCCTCACTTGTTTTTAAATGATTTTCTCGGAATCCTGAAGATGGGGAGAACAAAAAGTTTTGAAAACATGTCTCCTCTTCAGGCTGATTCTACACCACATCAACCGAAGAAAATGAAAAGTTCGGGTTAGGGATTTTATTTCTAGAAAACTAGAAACAAAATTTCAGATTTGTATCTAGATTTTTGTTTGCTCCACATCTCCTTCATGTTCAACTTCTCACATTTAGATTTGCATCAAAATTTAATCTTTCTTCACTCACAAAATAAATATCAATGTTTGCATGTGAGTTCGCTACAGCTGCTATAGCGGAGGAGCACAACTAAGCGTTTAAACACCAGGTACTTACTGTCTCACAGTCTGGAGGCCAAAGGTTCAAAATCAAGGCGTTGGTCATTAGAGCTGGTTTCTCCCGGGGCTGTCAGGGAAGGATCTACTCAAATCCCTGTCCTTGGCTTATAGAAAACTGTCTTTCTCCCATGTCTCTTCCCATGTCCTCCTGTTAACTTGGTTACCTCTGAAAAGACCCTATCTCCAAAGAAAGTCAGATTGTGAGGTTTGGGGAGTAAAAACTTCAACATACAAATTTTGGAGGAGACATAATTCAATTTATAGCAGCTGATAAATAATCTGAAAATAAAACTGAGGTTTTTGGGGAGGGGAGAGTTTATTTATTTTGAAGCAGGTTCTCACTCTGTCTCCCAGGGTAGAATGCAGTGGAATCATCACAGCTCACTGCAACCTCAAACTCTTAAGCTCAAACAATCCTCCTACCTCAGACTCCTGAGTAGCTGGGACTGTGGACATGTGCCACTATGCCCAGCTAACTGAATGAATTTTATGTTGTTGTTGTTGTTGTTGTTGTTGTTGTTGTTTGAGACAGCGTCTCACTATGTCACCCTTAATAGAGTGCTGTTGTGTCACCGGTCACAGCAACCTCAAACTCTTGGGCTTAAGTGATTCTCTTGCCTCAGCCTCCCAGGTAGCTGGGACTACAGGCACCCACAACACCCAGCTATTTTTTGGTGGAAGTTGTTATTGTTGTTTAGCAGGCCTGGGCCAGGCTTAACCCACCACCCTCAGTGTATGTGGCTGGCACCCTACTCACTGAGCTATGGGTGCCACCCTGAATGAGTTTTTAACAGTAAATATTTCAACCAAATGTTTGGATTGCCCTTATGGAATCACTAATGTAAGTAGAATATGTTAATTACCACTTGGCTCTAAATTTCCTTGACAAAATCCCAGACATAGAATATTCCTTTGCAGAATATTCTTGACACTTTCCATGAAGAATTTTCTGCCAGGGGAGTGCCTGTGGCTCAAAGGAGTAAGGCACTGGCCCCATATGCTGGCGGTGGTGGGTTCAAAAACTGAAAAAAAAAAAAAAAAAAAAGAATTTTCTGCCAATATGGAGGTGGAAGGAAAAGGGGGGACATTGGACCTAGTTGTACATTATTCTTTGTCAATTTTTTAGTGTACTAATGTATTGGCATCACATTAGTACTTGGTTAATATACTACTTACCAAGATATTTGCCAAAAAGATACAATTTTTTTCCTGGAAGCCATGTCTTAATCATGCCTGTAATCCTAGCACCCCAGGTGGCTGAGTCAGATGATTGCTTGAGCTCCAGAGTTCAAGACTAGCCTGAACAAGAATGAGACCCATCTCTACTAAAAACAGAAAAATTAGCCAAGTGTTGTGGTAGGCATCTCTTGTCCCATCTACTCAGGAGGCTGAAGCAAGAGGATCACTTTAACCCAAGAGTTTGAGGTTGCTGTGAGTTAGGCTGATGCCATGGCATTCTACCCCGGGCCACAGAGTGAGACTTTGTCTAAAAAAGAGAAAAAGAAAGAAAAGAAAAGAAAGAAAAAAAGAAAAATCATTTGAATGAACATACATTTTTGTGTTTGACTATGTAAAAATAGGCTGAACTTTCAACAGTGGGAAAGTCAAGCCCTCCAAAAACTCCCCTTACTTTTAATGATTTGCTAGAAGGATTCAGAAATAAAAGTGGTTATACCTACGATCATGGTTTCTTAACATAGAAGATTACAAATTAAAATCAGCAAAGGAAAAAGATTTACAGGGTCATGTTCAGGAGAGGTCGAGCACAGGCTTCTGGCTATCTTCTCCCAGGAGAATGGCATGACAGTGCATAATTCTCCCAGCAAGGAATTATGACAACACATGCCAAGTGTTGTCAACCAGGGAAGTGCATTTAAGCTTTGTATCCATAATTTTTGTTGGGAGTCAGTCAAGTAGACATGTAGAATCCAACACAACTCTAGCTGTATAAGAAGTCAAGCTAACGGCCCAAAGCTACAGGCATCTGGAAATAGGCATTCACCATACATCCCATTGTTAGCATAAATTATCTGGCATAGCCCAAGGTCTTAATTATCCAAAGACTCTTCTAGCATGCAGGATTTCAAGGGCTCTACAGTTATTCCCCAAGGAGCTGGTTAATAGCCAATCTTGAAGTCCTTTGTTTTTGAAGGAGGTATATAGAGTTTTATTAAGGAATACCAAGGGATCACTGCAATGAAATAAAACAATAGTAAAAAGTAGAACCTCACTATATTTTAAAATAATTTGGCCAACTCATTGTATAGACTAATTCCTAGTTCTCCTTCCTTAGAACAGGAAGATCAGGAAAGGGATGAAATTTGGGGGAGTTACATCCGAAATTAACAGAACCTGGTGCCTTCATCTACCGAAAGTCTCAGAGTGACAGAAGGGTCAAAACTATCACTTCACAAATAGGCAACTCAGATGTAGGGAGAAGTCTGTCGGGGCACAGTTGTTAGTTAGAAAGATCCTCCTTTGGACTCACTGATAAAACTTTCTAATGACACAGCAGAGAAGGCTAACTGAGGTCTCGGGAGACAGATCAGGATCAGAAGCTTTGAACCTACAGTGTAAGACCTAAAACTCAACCATCAGCAAAGTATTCCACCTCAAATCTAGGCAATAAAGCAGGCAAATAAACTAGGATAACAGGCAGGTGAGTTTCTGGTATAAGATGAGTCTGTCAAATAGAAGTATAAATGGCTGCATGATACTTAAGAGAATGACTGCACCAAGGTCGACACTCCAAAAGCCGAAACTGAATGGAGGGATTAGGATGCCAAGGCTGAAAGGAAAAGTCACATCAAGTGACTTTACAAACATCTCTGCAGGTCTCTGTCAATCTCCACCTAAAGGTGCAGCCATATGAAAACACGTGCTTCCATACACAAACACAGACTATGTCCTCAGGTACTTCCTAGAAAGGAGGATGGAGCCAGCCAAGTAGGAGGTCTGCAAACAGACCTCGCTCACCATAAGCCTTTTCCATGAATAAAGGAAAGAAAGTATCACATGAAGGAAGACAGACCCCCTTTTGTGGGTTTCCCTGCGCTCAGCTCTCCCTGCTACCTGACGTAAAGTGGATTAGTGTTCTTCTGACAGGAATGTAACTTGTGCCTAGAATCCTCGTTAATATAGCAGAGTTAAGGGTAAAGATCCCAAAATTGATTTAACTGCATATCCTTCCTAGAGCTACACATTCATCATCTAATTGTCACATGGAGTTTGGACCTCAGTGAAAAACAAATTTATATTTTTAAGCAACTCAAGGGTTGTGATTATTCAGAAAACGTTAGTGAGATCAAACTTAAAACCGATTTAGCGTATCTTTGGGGAGTAGCGATCATAGAGATCTTAGTGTTTCCTTAATTCTGCTATGAGATTATGGCAGGTTGTGGGTGATGGCCAAGAAGGTGGCAAAAGTTCCCACAACAAAGGCCTGAATGGTGTGAGCCTTTATGAGGGGTTTTCATCTACCTAGCACAGACCATTTTGTTGTGGCAAATACTCCTTTTCTCTTCTTAGTTCCTCCACTGTTTCTAGCCCTGTTTGTGGCATCTCATCAGAATGAAACATCTGGTCCTAGCTCACATCCTGGAGCGCCTCTGAATTTTGTGTGGACACTAGAGGCTCTTTGCAGGTTGCACTTTCTAACTCTACTGCTGATATTCACAGGAACATTTCTCTCCACAGGTCAAACCTGGTTCTACTTGTGTTGTCTTTGGTCTGGGAGGAGTTGGCCTGTCTGTCATCATGGGCTGTAAATCAGCTGGTGCTTCCAGGATCATTGGGATTGACCTCAACAAAGACAAATTTGAGAAAGCCATGGCTGTTGGAGCCACCGAGTGCATCAGCCCCAAGGACTCTACCAAGCCCATCAGTGAGGTGCTGTCAGAAATGACAGGCAACAATGTGGGCTACACCTTTGAAGTTATTGGGCGTCTTGACACTATGGTAAGGGGCAGAATTTGAGGAGTGGCAAATGCTTGAATTATTAGACATGTGCAAGGTAAAGTTCATTTCCATGGCTTTATCACTAATCACCCATGGAATAGCTGTTTATCAGGCAATCACTGGTAATCACGTGGCAATTCTGCCTAAAAATGTCAAAATCTTAAGAGCAGGTCCACCTGATGAACGTAAGTACCAAATCCTACCACTCTCAGATCACTAGAGGGCAAGGGAGTCACTCAGTATTCTTCTTTGAGGGATATCTCCCTTGTATATGATAATTTCTTGGCACAGGTGGTTCCAACTCTTGCACTTCAGTAAAGCAAGCATCACAAGGTGACTCCCTGAGGAGATAAGGAAGATATGCCAAACAAAGGGGATGATTCCAAATGTTCTAGTCTCTTTGCCTAAATCTATGATAGAACCAACTTCTCATTCTTCACACCTAAGCTTTCTTTTCCTCCCTCTGAGCTCCCTTGAATTCTAAGTGCAACTTTCTAAACATGCCTTCTTTGTGGTAGCACCAGACCCTCACTTAGGTCTGCAGTAACCCTGACATTAGAATACCTTGGGCTGGGGAAGGGGAAGGAGACTTGGAAAAATAGGACAAAATCAATTTTGCTCAAGATTGAGTAGCATATTAAATTCACTTGAATCTTTTTGGTGATTTAGGAGTAGGTGGCCATTAACTTACCACCATTGCCATATGCCTTTCCAGTGAATCACTTACAATTATTCCATAGCAATAACTAACATTTTAGATCACATGTTTATGGAGAAATGTCCAATATTGATTATCTTAATTAGGGACTATTGATTACCAGATGATACTTGGTTGAACACTGATGCCTGAAAAACGTCAGCATCTGTTACTACAATCTAGCAAGTATTCAAAAAATTAGTAATAAATAACTAATAATGAGTAGGCTAATGACCAGAAAATGTAGCATTAGTCTCAGAATTGGTACAAAGATAAAGAACTCCTTTTTCCAAATTTTGCTATGTTACTTAATTTTCGAATTAGACTTAAAAAAAAAAAAACTATGTTGACTGGTTTGGTGTACGTAATTAAATTGAGTTTGGTTCAAATGACTTCCTAGGGCTTACCTAAAGTGGTGATGTTGGTATAACAATTTCACCGGATTTCTCGGTTTTAGTCCATGGTATAATTAAAATACCACAAATACTGCCTTAAGTATTGCCTTCTGCCATACTGCCTATCTGCTACATACAAAGGGAAATGTTTGTAGTGGTTTCATTAAGAACTAATGTTGCACTGAGGATTTTTTAAAGCAAGAAAAACAAAAATCAGTCTAATTTAATCTCATGCCTTAGAAACTGAGCCAACTACAGGATCTGCTATGGTGTGTAGGTCATTTCTGAGCACATGAGATCTACAAGAAACGTATGAACCAAATAATCTCCTTCCTTTTTAACTCAGATTGATGCCCTGGCATCCTGCCATATGAACTATGGGACCAGCGTGGTGGTGGGCGCTCCTCCATCAGCCAAGATGCTCACCTTTGACCCAATGCTGCTTTTCACAGGACGCACGTGGAAGGGATGCGTCTTTGGAGGTGAGAACAGCACAGCTCTCAACTCTGAGTGGTGACTTTCACTCTGCTGCTTCACGAGGGAGAGAAGCCCATCGCCACATCCCTCATCACATCTCCCTAACAAGTCTTTTTTTCGAAGGATGTATATGAAGTGATCTAAAATGGAACTGTAACCACGATAATACAAAAGATAATCATCCACTCCTGACCTTGATCTAGGGCTAATATTGGAGGGCAGTTTTGATATTTGCTTGCACCTCCAGGTTCCCAAATGCCTGCATAAGAGGCAGCAGTATATTTCTTGGGATGATTTGTGTGGCAGGAAGTTCTGATTTAATCCATTAATCTTAATATACACAAGGATGCATATGAAAAATAGAATTCATTCATTTCCCAGTACCACCAGCAGAACTTCTGGATCCAAAACCAAAAGAAACAAACAAAAAGGGGTCGTCACATTTTACAGGAACAGTTCAGATTCACACCGGAGTGACTGGAATTACTGCTCATCCATCACTACTGCTTTAGTAAAGGCAGAGCCAAAGTCACTCTCCCTGGGCAGGTGACACAGGGAATCCTTTTATTCCTCTCTTCAGTGGGTCTCTTTTTCTAGCAGCTCCATCTAGAATTGTACTAGGTACCTTGCTGGCACTTTCCATATCAGATTCTGCCTTGTACAACAAAAGAAAATAGTAACCATTCAAGTATTTGTTGAGTCTACTCTTTAAGAGTGCAAAAAGGAAGAAATGACTATTCTTGAATCAGAGAAGTAGATAATTTAATGAAGCATGCAAAAACAGGTATAAGGGAAATAATTTAAAAATAAATGTTGCTATAAATATTATAACACAAATTATAAAAAGAGTTATTGAGTCTCCTCACTTCATCTGTTTTTGTGATGTAGAAATTGTAGATTATTCAGGGATAGAAGTAAAATTCAATTATTCATCAAATATTTTTTTAGTATACACTGAGTACTAGGTATCACTCCAGGAGCTGGGAATATAGCAGAGCTAAACCTACCAAGTCCCTGCTCTGGGGAAGTCTGAGACCCCTCCTCTCGTTTTAGAGTGGAGAGACGGAGTGCAGAGTGCAGCATCTGGTGACAAGCGCAAAGGGGAAACACAGGGAGGGCAGTGGGTAGTCTGGGAGAGTCAGGGAGTGGGGAGAGGAAGAATATTCTGTGAAGTTCAGGCATGGCCTCTCCGATAAGGCGGCATTTGAGCAAAAGCATAAAGGAAATGAGCTATTCAGAAAGCTTGGGAAAGAATATTCCAGGGAGAGGGTATCGTAAATGCCACTGAGTGTTGGCAAGTGAGGACTGAGCAGCCCAGCTCGTCTACAGCAGAACGAGGACAGAGGAATAGCAGCAGCTGGGCTCAGAGGGCCAGATTCTGTGGGGCCTTTTGGCCACTGCAGGGTTTTAGGATTTTATTCTGAGTGAGAAGGGAAGGAGGGTTTGAGGGAGGTATGTCCTGATGTGACTTGCATTTTAACACACCCCATTGTGTCTGCTGGGAATATTCTAGATGGGGACAAAGGACACAAGCAGGTGACTTGTATGTTTCCAAGAATAATCTGATATGGGGACAGGTAATAATGCAGGAGAGAGACAAATAAAAGATAATACAACGTGAGGATTTCTTAGTGAAATCTAAGGAGAAAATGTGTGCTTACTTACAGGTTGGAAAAGCAGAGATGATGTCCCAAAACTAGTGACTGATTTTATGGCAAAGAAATTTGATCTGGACCAGTTGATAACTCATGTTTTACCTTTTAAAAAAATCAATGAAGGATTTGAACTGCTCTATTCAGGTCAAAGGTATTATTATTATTTTTTTAATGGTGATCTTGTCTCTTCTCTACAGGCTACTTTTAAAATTTAGTACTTATAAATGTGCCTGTTTCCTTCATATTTCTTTTGATCTAATCTCACCAGATTAATATAGGTGGTGGCTACTTCTTCTTTATAGACTTCCTAAACAGTTTCTTAAAATCCTGTGGACTTGGTGGGTGTTGTTGTTGTTGTTGTTAGATTTATTTCATCTTTACTATTTTAATTTTATCATGAATTTGATAGCTTTTTCAATAATACTATAAAATTTCCTTGTTTAACAGTTTTCAAAGTCCTTTTCAAGAATACATTCTTCTGCTTCTTGTGGATATTTTTAGATGAAGAAACTAAGGTTGTGAGGGGTAAATAACTCGTCAGACCTCCCCGGGGCAGCACCAGGACCCAGACTCGGGGCAAAGCCCATGCTCCTCTCAGCACATGCCAAACTTCTCTGACAAGATCTTGGCAAGCTCCAGTAAACATGGATCTTCTAGTCCCTGCTTGTCACTTATGGGGCTAAGCAAAGCAGAGGTGGAGTAGGAAGGATTTACTCAAACTTCAACTACAACATCTGTCTCAAGGAGGTCGGGAACAGCCGTCACAGAGGCTGTCTGCAAGATGAGATGGGATTTTATTCATTGAGGATATACATATTTATTGAGCGTCTACTATGTATTAAGGAGTTGGGTTTTATTCGCAAAAGGAAATGTACCTTAACCTGAGATCCATATTTTCATGAGATTTTCGCCTGGGTGTTTGTGCAGTGTTATGTCTTGTCTCTACATCTGGTCTTACCTACAGGATCATCATGCTATGAGCATGACATTTTAAATTATTTTTAAGCAAGTCGACAGTGAGTTTCTTTCAGAGAAACCATCTTAACCACCCACTACTCCTTTATTAAGATAAGCAAAACTGATAGCTTAGAGTAGCCTGCTTGGAAAATAGTTACTAGTTGTTTTCTAAAGAGACATAAATTCTGCTCTCAGGCTGTTGGGAATTTTGCCTCAAATATCACCTTAGCTCAATGAATTTCAAAATAACCTTTATAAACCTAAACTCTTTAATTTTTATTTACTTCCTGCGCAACTCCATTTGAATCCCTCATGTCCATCAACTTCACTCAAAATAATTCTTCCACCTACCAGTACATTTTATCTATCTCAGTAAATAATGTCACGTATTCCACTTTTACAGAGGAGAGGCCGCAGCATTTTGTCTTATTTTTTTGTCACGCTTGCCCACCACACAGAAACTGAGGCTAAGCCCAGATGATGTAACCTCTAGTTTCGCTTCCAGCCATTCTCCCTCTCTTAACCCATGATCATTGCCTCTGTTCAGTCATATTTATGATTTGGATACACGGTAGCCCGAGGACAGCTTTTCTAGAGTCTGTATTTTACCATTCCAGTCATTCTGCACTAAGCTGCCAGGCTCACATTACTCCAAAACAACAATGCCTCAGCATGCTTTCAGAGCCTTCTTTATGGTATTATTGAACTAAAACCTACTTTTGTTTATTAATTTATCCAGTACTTCAACAACCAAACATTTAGCAGCTACAGTATCAGCCTGTGCACTAGGCTCTGAGGATAAAGTAGATCTCATCCGTATGTGGGATCTCTCGGCCACCTAGGAGTCCAAGCACATTGGATTGCCCTCTTCCTGCCCACACCTTCCTAGGCTTATTCATGATGCTTCCAGAATCAGCTCAGATACTTTTATCAGAGATGTACAAGAAGAAACTTGGTGATGACTTCAAGCTCAAAGGATTTCCACTCACAGAATTGACCTAAAGTTTCTATAACTGACAAAAAGGGCAATTGTTTAAACTGTTCTTGTTTGTAAAATATGAAAACAACTCACTGAAAACTCTCCTTGTACATTTCAGCATTCGAACTGTCCTGACGTTTTGAGACTCTAACTTCCAGGAGGTCTGTGTTGGGTGCTGGTAATCTGGAGCGACACTGTCTGCAGTTCCCTCCTCTGAAATGATGGATCTGTCTCACAATACAAGCACAAGTAGACTATTTGGTGAAGATATAGAACCTTCATGTTCATGCATGAGTCTTATGAGCACTTGGGAATTAACAAGGGGATTCATAGCAATATTTAAAAACTTAATGTACACTTCATAAGGCTGTAAATTATATATCTGAAAACACAAATACTTGGATTTCTATATTAAACAGAGATGTCCTTAGAAGAGTTTTAACTAGCTCCTACTACTTAAAACTGGCATAGAAAGATGTAGTAATTGTATTTTCTAAAGCATATTCATTTAACACATTGTAAATTTTTTTTATTTGAATGGAAGTCTTCAAAACACTTGTTATAAATTAACTTGGATTAAGTTTTGAAATCAGCTCATTGCATCGTACATTGCTCAATTAGATTAAGAAAGAAATGAGGTTATCTAACAGAAGGGCATATTTTTCAATGATTAACTCTAAGAATTACCATTACTTACTGGGGTGAAATTGAAAAAGTATATTACTAGGGACCATGAGGTTAATTACCAAATATCTTAATATTTCAGAAAATGTGCCTTTTTATAATACTACTTAAACATAAAAGTGCAGCTAGAATCACATCGTAGGATTTACCATAATGTTCACTCTGATAAAGTAGAATTACAAGTCTCTACATTCTTATTTAGTATTTAGCAATGACTCCCTTTGATAAAAATTGCTTTCAGTTTGGTACAAGTGCGCTGGCAGATCTCTCTGTATCTGTAACATGTTAAAATTCTTAATAAAACTAAATTCTTTACAAAATGTTTCATGGTGATATATTTTAATTGAGTTTTATTTTGAGCTTTTCTTGATTATGGGTAAAGTGTTAATATACTTAAAAAACATATTAAATACTTCATGAGAAAAATAAGAGGTTAGGTGGTCAAAGCAAAAAATAAGGATTTAAAAATAAGAACATAATGGAGATTGGAGAGTCCTTCTTGGGTAGGCTGCAAACTGTCCAGGTCATTAGAAGCCACTTTTACATGATAACCATGTAAACTTTTATCCATGGGGTAAAAGTTCTCTTTTCTTTTACAAGTTTGTCAATCTAAAACAACAGCTGAAATGACTGAAAAGTATAAAGCATTTCTTTGTGAGCTATCTTCTTCATCAGCTGGGTTTAGCTCGGGCTGTACTCTGAGCATTCTGTATATAGCCAGTTTATAGGAAGGAATATGTATAGACAGACATACACACAAACATGTGCAAACATAAAGTCTTCACCTAAGAACCATCTCTAGACATTATTCCCATCCATCCATTAGCAATATCTATGGCTCAGCTCTCAGAACCCTCCCCCCTAAAAGCATTTTAACAAGGAAAATATGTGAGAAATGAATTAATTCCCCAATGTCTCTTGCCTCAAATTTTGTAAAACATGGTAAATAAGGATATCAAGAGTTATGTACAAATACTGTTAAAAGAAATAAATCCAAGGAATAAACATATAAATATGCTCAGATCAAAGTTTTTAAAATGAAACCCACTTTATTCCTAGAACTTCTTACAGATTATAGTTTTACAAATACATTGTATATGTAAAAGTTTATATACACATTTAATATTTGTTAAAAAATTTTGTAGAATCTTTCTTCACTTTGGAGCTTGTCATGTCCAAATAGTCAACAGAAAGATCCCCTGCTATCTTGCCCAGGGGAAACCTGTCCCTGTATAGCTTTTTGAGTCATCAGAAAGCGCTAGTTCTCAGAAGAAATCAGGACATTGGTCATTTTTACGTATTTTTCATTTCTAGTCAATGTAGCTACAAAACATCATAAAACTGAGTTCTTGAATGTTAAAGGATAAATGAGTAGGAAATAGCTAGAGAAATGTTAGAGGAAATATCTAGTTTCTCATTTAAAGAATAATCTAGACTTTTAATTCCTTAAATCATGTTTGAAGCATATTCATTCACTAAGCTTTATTTATTTATTTATTTATTTATCTGAGACAGAGTCCCAAGCTATTGCCCCAGGCTCCCTCCACAATGCCTGGCCACTTTCTTTGGTGTTGTTGCTACAGTTGTCATTGTTGCCCACTGGCTCAGGCCGGTCCAAACTCATCAGCCTTGGTGTCTGTCGCTGGCGCCCCACCCACTGAGCCTCGGGTGCCGCCCAACTAAGCCTTTTTTTCCCTGCCTCTTCAGCTGTCTCAAGCAATAAGCTAAGTATCTGATACACAGTGAAGAAAAAAATCAGCAGTGTTCTCTGCCCGTATAGAGCAGATAATCTAGTAAGAGATGCATTTGATATGACAGTAAATAAATGTGCAAAATTATTACTTAAATTTCTGATAAGTGCTACACATTGTTCTGTGGTAGAGGGGAAGAAAGGGAATTTTCAGCTTTCTATACAGTGTCATCTACAAGGTAAATTTAAACTCACAGAGGAGGATGAGCTAGAGCCAGATCTTTGAAGAAAGGGCCAAAATTCTCTCAGGTGAAGGAGCAATATGCCCAAAGGCCAGTAATTTGGGAAAAGGCCCCTGTAGCTGGCGTTTGTCTCCAGGTGTTAATGATACTGTTTAGGTTCATGACTCTGAAAAAGGTTAATTCCTTTTTTTTTTTTTTTTTGCAGTTTTTGGCCGGGGCTGGGTTTGAACCCACCACCTCCAGCATATGGGGCCAGCGCCCTACCCTTTTGAGCCACAGGTGCTGCCCCAAAAGGTTAATTCCTTATGGAGATATTTGTACATTCACTTCCCTCAATAATCAGTTCCTCACATACTCATCCAGAAAGGAGTGTGCTTTAAATCATTATAAGATTGATGTGAAATGATTTTAGCTTAGAGGAGAAAAAGACTGGATAGAGATGATAGCTTTCTTAGGAGTACCCCTCCCCATGACCTCCACGCCAGTCTCTGCACAAGGTCCTTCCACCAGCCATTTATTTCCTGTTTCCCAGCCCTCCTTCCACCTAAAGCCGTTTATCTTTCTATGTAATAACTAACCAAGGCCTCACAAATGCGTGTATCCCATTCATCCTCTTCATGCACTTTCATTTGCTCATCTTTTTGCTCCTCATCCTCTCACAGAGTGGGAGTCCCTTCATTAAGGAGAGTGAAATTCCTGTTACCCAGGCAAACCGCCTTAAGTTCTAGTAATTGTTTCCGCTCTGCTTCTGGCATTGCCAGTCACCCCACCGGCTGCAGAGAAGTGACTGAGACCTTCCTCCAGAGTCCAACCTGTTTCACATGTAAAGTTCCAGAAGATAAGGCACGCGCTCCAAGTTCCTTCTTAAATCAGTATCTACTAGAACATTCTGTACTCAGTGGACACTAGGCAAACATTCTTGGCTGATTCAACAATTGGATTAAAAGGATTATACATTTCTGGCTGTGTCAACTGTCCAACCCAGTAAATACACCATCATGCTAGCCCAAAAAAGTAAGTGAAGTAACAAGACTTATTCTTGGCAATGGCTCTTTCAGGTAGTCAAATAAATTTTAAATTTAGACTTATTTTTCTCTGCCTTGAGTGAACAAGAACCTCGCTTCAGATTTAAGTCAACATTTTAATTCAATGTTTGACTAATATAGTCCAGTTCAGGGGTAGAGGGAAGCGGGAAGGGGGAGGGGAGGATGATTGGCAGAAGGAGGGAGGGTGTGAGGTGGGATCTCACCTAATGTGCACTTTGTGAGGGTGTATAACATGCCCCCTGGGTAAGGGGCTCTTCTGCAAATGGAACTTTACCCTGGAAGTAGGAACAATGTAACCTAAAAATTGTACCCTCATATTTATTTGAAAAATAAAAAAAAAAAAAAACTCAAAAAAAATGTCTGTTTGAATTTGCAATTTAACATTTAAAAAAATAGATATGGTGTTCAAATATTGTGACCTGGTTGTTTGTACCCTCACATTAACCTGAAATTAAAATAAATAAATAATAGATGTGGTGTTTTAACTTGAAAAGCATACATTTTAAGGCAAGTTTTGGCAAAGAACCATCTACTTACGTAACTTCCTGACATGTGTCAAATGTAGTACTATTTGTTTTTGCAAAACAAATGTACCTGTCAAAAAATAAATGACCTGCAAATACTCTACTCTGATCACGAATTAAAACTTCGGTTAAAAGCATGATGTGGTGGCCTGATTCAGGAGGCAGGAGTTTGATACTGGCTCCACCTCTAACTAAAACTCTTATTAGTGTTTTCTGAGGTCCCATCTAGCTCTCTCAAAGGCTCTCATGAAGGTTCTTGAAATAATCATAAACTTGTTTCCTCTTTACTTCTGAAAAGAAAACTGAGGAGTGTCTCCATAGAAAAGAGGTGTCAAAACACTTTCAATTCACTGCTTCAAAACAGCAGACCCATCTAGCACATTAGTTAGGAAATTGGAATCAGAAATAGTCTTCCCAGGAAGCCATAGAATTTTCTGGAAAGCACTCAAAAAAGTCAGCTTGATTGAGGACTAAATATACCAGAAAAAAAATGAGAGGACTGGGTTCCAGAACTGCAGCCCAAGTACTGCAGGAGGCTGAGATCCCTACCTGCTTATAGGATGCTTGACATTGAAGAATTTTATCCTAATTTGGACTGCGGTCCTTCTAAAACATTATAACATTAAGCCTTTTTTTTCCAAGGCAATTTCTCCACACTCTGAGGTTTGTCATGTTCGAAAAATATTCAGTCTCATCTCTTTTTTTTTGAGACAGTGTCACTACATTGCCCTCGGTAGATTGCAGTGGCATCACAGCTCACAGCAACCTCAAACTCCTGGGCTTAAGCAATTCTCT